GTTTCTCAGACTGTTGGCAAGGCCAGTTGTCCTGTGTCATAGGATGAAAATTAGTATAGTCCGCGGCGCGAAGCACCGCGCACACATTCAATTTACATGCGGAACAGCCTGCTCCCAGCGGCCGCGGGAAGCAAGTTCGACTACTTTTTTTCACTTAACCTTCTAAAAATTTCCTTCTCTGTCCTTCCCTATTTCCACCACCCCACAGTATCTATAACCACCGTTTTTGCAGGACAAAATGCTGGGACTAGGGGTATATGAGTGGGGCTACATAAGCTACTTTTGCCCTTAATTCTTTATTAAAACAGATAGATCCTATTTGCATATAATGGGTGACGTAATTCGCAAAAGGTCCGAGACTATCCCAAAATGCATCAAGTAAAATTTCGCATCATAAAGAAATACTCTAGAATAGAGGAAGAGAGAAACTGATGTTATTCCGGTGATAAATAACAATTGTCATAAGGGAACAGACATTTTGAAAGCCCAAAAAGGCGTGTCATATCCGTCAACTTAAGTTGTGGAACTACACAGGGCGCACCCATGCAAGAAACCCGGTTTTAGCACAACATTTTCAAAATCTTTTATATATTATTCGTTTGAATAGCCTCCAAGAATGAGTGTATATTGAAGTATGACAGGTAGTGAAATGACTGTATACCCTGATGACGTAACGAGAATTAGATGTGATTTCCCTTTTTTTTCAGTCTACAAGGTCCGGTCGCATAAGGCAAAGAGAACTTTGCCTAATATCGCGGACAAGGACAGGAGATACTTTTAGTAAAGGTCACATGATGGGTGACTGGAATATGATGGATAGATACAACCAGGAGCATAGTTTTTTTCTGTGTATTAAGCGAACTTTTCTTTCATAAAATCCCGGTGTTTTTCGCGACAGTAGGTTTCCGTGTTTTCAAAAGGTGGGTGAACTTTTTCAGCATTTAGTCGATTGTTCAACAATTGTATTACTGGTTTCTGTTTATCAAAACCTTTAAAATAAGACAATTCTCGGAAGCATTTAGCTAGGTAGATGGTTATGAGTTATTACCTTTTTTTAAAGAAAATTGCGATTCGAGTCATACGTGTAGTCATTCAAGCATGAAGCATGATCACCTAGAAATGAGTGTCCACTAAGAAGGTCTCTAATAGGCACTTGGGCAGTTGAACAATTTGCAATAAGCAACTTCCTCAGATAGTGTTTTCATGAGGTAGTTCGCTGACAAATGTCCACGTGATTTATTATTTTGAAAAGTAAATTAGACGAACAAATTGGGACGCTAGGCCCGCTTCTGCGCTTTTCTGACAGACACTGCTAACTCTTCTTTCCCTTGGAGTCATTTTCGGCATAACTGCATATTTTACGGTTTCGGTTTGCGCTTTAAAATGCACCAGAGTGCGGTCATGTGAATAAAATATTTCTGAACCTATTAACCGTGCCGTTTCCAGATGAAGTTAGTAGAAATGAGACCGCATAAGATGCATTCTAACGTATGCTCAAAGATTCAAATGGCTGTTTTTGGTGGGCATTTTCGTAATTACTCATGGAATATTTAGATGTGCCAAGAAAAGAGACGAGTGCTAAAGCAAGACTGTTGACAGGGTGTGAGCCCATACAGATGTACCATACTTTTGAAAAACAAAATTTAGCCTCGCCTGAATTATTCATACTGATGAACAAATATGGTCTAGAACCGTTATCATTATAGTAAATTATCCTACAATAAGTACACTTTTATAAACTAAATCCCCGAGAAGGAGAAAGGGGTGTTACGGGATGCGTTAGGCCATTGAACGCAATGTCTGTCAGTTAAGGTGTCCCAAAATGGTTATCTACCGCATGCCGCAGAAACTAACGAACGTAAAACCGAAGGAAGAATAAGCCAGGGGCAACAAAACTGCAACAGATGACTAGCATATTCAGGCCATAAAAGTTACTACCTTTTTCTAATAAGACTAAAGTAGCATCCTTGTGAAAAGTGGCGGCCGTAAGACACACAGAAAAGAGGGATAAATAAAAAAGAGTACCTTTTCTATTAACAATTCCTGGATGAGCTGCCGTGACTTAACGTTGTGTTCTTGAGCCAGGGCGATAGTCTGCTGCTGAACTGTCGACTCTAGTTCCAATTCAGCCACTCGCCGTTGGAGATTCTCAATCAGTGTGGCATTGGTGGAGGAGCTTCCGGGTGGGGAGGACGTGGGAGATAGGAGGGGATCGGTCTGGGCTGCGGAATTGCAGAGCCGGTTGAGGGCCGAGCTTGAGGATGAGGAAACAGACTGTGCGACGGGGAGGTAATTAGGCGCACTGGTAGCAGCAAC